TAGGAGATAAAGAAAATGACTGTAAGTCTAGAAAAACTATACACCTTTAAGAACCCACAATGAAAGTTCTTTCATCCGCAAAAATTAATAATGTACAAACTAAAATGCTATTCTTTTTACATTATCAATTTCAGTTGAACCTTCCGTGGGTTCCGCAAGATTAACTAATAACATATATTTTTTTTATTTTTCCTAGCTTTTAACAGCCTTGTTTTTAATCTATTATCATAAGGGCATGTTTATGCGTTTTTGAAGTGCGCTAGCAAGGCAGTAACCTATTAGCCGATTTAGTACGATGAATCATCTCCAGGTTTTACAACCAGTAACTCAGACGAGCAACGAATATCAGTTTGGTGTCTGCCTGGTTTTCATACATTTCGAGAAACCCTTTGACTAAGTCTACATCCATTCTGTAATGGATTCACTGAGGAGCCAGGCAATCAAGAAAATACACAGTGACCTCAGGGCCATAATTTACAAGAAGTTTAAAGTCGAAGGTAGCTTCCGACAGAGCGGTAGAGCGTCACCGAAGTGACTGATTCACAATAGCCCTAGAACAGATTTTTAAAGCACTCAGTTTGGAAAATCAGGGGCTGAATATAAATGGACCTTAATTAAGCCAGTTTGCAGAGATATTTGACCTTTTCTAGGTTTCCAGAAGAACTCCAATTAAGTATCTAACAGCTGAACCACATCAACATCAAAGTTGGACTGAAAATGAACGTGAACATAACTCAGGTCAGGTCATGTTTAACAAACACGTGACCGCGGAATCGGTTGAAACGAAGAGCCTTATACTTGAAGAAGTGCAAAACTCTGTCTAACAGGTAGAGCTCACCTCTGCAACGGCACAACGTAGAACCGACTGTTTGAAATCAGTAGCAGAATGAATATAGAATGGAGCGCTTTTCGAAGACTGAAAACGTTCCTATCCGGGAAACTGTCATTGTACTGGAATTGGAAATCATTCGACCAGTGTCCGCGGCGCTAACCTACGGCTAAGCATGAAAGCTCTTCATAAACTGCGGACTATGCAATGCAGCATGCAATGCTGCCTATTGGGAATAATAAGAAAAGACAGGAAGACGAATGAACGGGCAGGAGCAAAAACAAGAGTCTGCGATGTCATGGCCCGAGGAAAGAAAAGTTGAAGCGGCAATACCAGGACACGCTGCGAGAACAACCGGCCATCGCTGGACCACCAGCGACATTACATTGGATTCCAAGAGACACGAAACGGCGAAAAAAGTTCTCCAGATCGATGGCAAGATGAGCTGAAAAAGTTCGTTGGATCGAGACAGATGACAATGACAGAATGCAATGGTCTACGGCGAAGTCTTGGACAGACGTTTACCAAGCGGTAGATCGACGAAGGCTGACGATCATATCCGTCAGTAGAAGAGATTCAGGTTACACATGAAAAAAAGGAAAATGAATGAAAATGAGAAGTTTAAGCTGAAATCTGCTGTTCAGCTTTTTCTGTACTGCACAGAGTTCAACAACGGGAATCACTGAAATTCCTGTGCATCTTAGTTCGCGCAGAGATGAGAATAAATGCACCTTGGGTGACTGCATGCCTGAACTAGCGAAAGTGCTGCAGCAGATGACTAACGTCAGGTCAGTACTGAACGATCAAACCTGGCGGTTGTCGACTGTCTTACGACTTAAGACGCGATTCTGAATGCCAAAGATGTAATGTCACTGTTGATTGTGCAAACAATGTTCATGCTCGTTGCGGGATGCGGAAATCAGACAAACAATGTTACAAGAGTCTAGGAACAGGCGAGACTGGTGCGCTAAGATTAACTAGTTTTCTGTTGTTGAGACGATACGAAGGACAATGTACTTTATGTAATACATCAAGAACACTGAATGAAAACTTAAGGTCGAATATGGGAAATTTCTGGTCTTGAGTACGTGCGACCGACTGACTGCCACGGTGACGGGTTCTTTAAATGGTAAACGTATGTACCCGGAATAATGATTATTATTTCTGCACATTTTGTTGTCAATAGTCAGACCCATTTCCTTTCTTACGCTCCAAGTCAAGACAAGATTTCGTATGCTTTCAAAAGTAGGTTGTCCGCCAGGCCTTGCATCAATTCGCTTGTCAGATCCTCGGTGTGATTTCGAAAAAAAACATGGCCGTTAAGGAACGGAAAGCAGCGTGATCGGTAAGAAGACCAGATGACGGTGCATCGGCGGATTCGGCCGCGCAGTCGGAGCCGATTGAGTCGAAAACGACTGCGTTCTGTTCTGTGTCGCTTGGACGCCGTATATCGGCATTCCGATCAACCCACGTCAGTTCTTAAGACAATTAATTCCCGCGCCCTGTAATATTTACTAAAAGTAGGTGTGTGTCATCCGATGAAATTCCACGCGAAACGAGTCACTGGGTTGAAATTAAATTTCATAAATAATTAACAGAAATAAATACATATTTTGACTGACGACCGCGCGCCGCTATTCAATCTGAGCCAGATCCGCAACGACTCTGCATTTCATGACGATAAACTACTACCAGAAAAGGTCAGGCTTGTGGAAACTATCTGCCTTATTAAAGCCGAGCTTTTGGTTTGAGCTCGAATGCGCGAAGGATAAATTTTTGCCAGGTTGTAAAGAGACAAATTTATTTTAAGGTAAATAAAAGATAAGTAACATACAATGGCGACGCAATAGCGGCAACCAGGCTGAATTAGGTGCGCACTTCTCTTTTCGTTAATTCATTTTGTTGCGGGCAGTTTCGCTATAACTTTGTTTATTATCATTCTCTTTCTCCAGTTTACCTTATTTAGAGTCATCCCGCTGGACACGGTTTTGCATAATGCAGCGCTCGGCCACCGCTGAACTTCTATAGTCTACTTTGCAGGCCACAAGTTCAAGTTTCTTGTTATGTAGTTTTCTTCCAGCTTCTCCAGTTCAGGGGTCGCCAGAAGTACGACTGAAGATGTATTCTGTTGTGGTCGGATCCGGACCCGTTTTTGTACAGAAGACTCCTAGCTTACGCGGAAAACTACATGCTGTCCTGACGCCATCGCTGTATCCCGTCATGAACCGTTGATTCGTTTGACACAGGATCGTCAACAGAAGATCGCTATCAAAGTTGTGTAAGGAATAGGCAAGTAGATTATAATAAATTCTGTTCAGCGTCCTATCGAACTTTCGCAACTGCTCGAGAACGAAAGGTACAGAGTAGATGTTTTCTCCTAACTCATTCAGATACTTGACATCCTGCTCTTGGTGAGGTTGTTGCGTTCGAGCATATCAGTACATTTTTTACGTAGAGAGTTTGTACCAATCTAGTTCCAGCAGATACCGGTATGTAGGTTTTACAGCTAACATATTTTCTGGTTTTTATAGACCGTCGTTCTTAGAATATTTTCGTCTTTATACAATGCGACGTCCAGAAACGGGGGCCCTTCATTTTCTTCCAGTTCGTGCGAACCGGATCTTGTGACCGTTGTTGTTCAGATGTTCACGGAAGTCGCTGAAATAGTTGTCACAAGACCTAGGTGTCGATTACTTGCCTGTACCATATATCTAGCCGAAATGCTGCTGCAATATTGCGATTGCTTCGAACTGTTCCATACCATGGACTTAGGCGACGATCGGAGATATACGTAGTCTCATGGTATAATCGATTAGCTCATTTCTGCACATTTTTTTATGAAATCTGTTATTCCACCTACGCCAGCAAGTAATTTAAATGAAGTACGCACAATAGGACGATGATGTACCGGAAGTTGATGTAGGAAAGGAAAAGAAACAATAACGAAAACAAAGCAGTTTGTAAATAACCAGTAATAAACAACAACAATCACGTACCGCATGTGCAATCGCCTGGCACTACCCGGGTGGCGCTCGTCGTCAACGAAGGAAAGCTCTAAGCAGATCTTGCCCTAAACACGCGACACGTGCACGGAGAAGCTTCGCGGACAACTCACCGCTTACCGTGACGTCCAAGTGTCTGTTCAGGGGTTTCAGATGATACCATCGTTCGGAACCCGAGTACTTGACGATGTCTTGCTTGCGAAACGTGATTCGACCGAGGTGTCTAGCAATTCTGCCCGAGTACTGGTCGAACAGGTAAAACGACAGCAGCCGGAACTTACGGGGCACTTCGTAATGAAACTCGTCGCCAAAGAACGGGCTGAAACGAAGCCGTGAGCACGCTTGATCGACATCACGCCTACCGCGCCCGTCCTTCCGTACTTCGACGACTGAAACGTCGTGGTCGTTCGAAAAATCTCCTCCCGGTCGAGCTTGACCACGCAGCAGACGTTGTGTATCGAAGAGGAAGTAGATTGCCGCAGGGGTAGGCAGCGAGCTTCAACTAAAACGACAAAACATCATCATTAAATAAACGTAGAAGATGGTGCCAGTCCTGATATGATCACAAATAACTTAATTCTGCCTTCTTCAATCAATCATTTTTCTGAACCAACTCGGCCAAATGTCGATGAACCAAAAACTCGTTCGCATTTCTGGTCTGATACGGTGATACTAAGTGATCACTTAAGTGACGAAGCTACGGAGTGTTGACAGTAATAAACGTTAAGAAAGCGTCTCATGCGATGAAGGAGCCGCATTAAGCAGCCGGCACGAGTGGCTTAGACACTTCCTGCAGTGAGCATTATTTGGACTAACTGCTGTTAACGTTCAGCGAGTCCTGAACAATAACAATACCGACGGATCCATTTTCAAAGATATTATTGCCATTCTACTAAACTGAATAATCACCTGCCTCATTCACGAACGCCAGTATCAAAACTCCAACCTAGTAACATTCAAAGCATAACAGCAGAGGAAAAATCGTTTACTCCACCGTTGCTTGCTTTGCTTTTAACTTTATAGACGTTTAGAATGTGAGTCAAGATCTGGTCAACACCTGGCTCCGAGTCAAGAACAGTTGTATAAAATGCTCCTCACTTCATATCTATTTGAACACACTACAGGGAGTATCAAACATGAGTGATTTGCCATTAAATGAACATGGCACTGCAGACTGAGATTTCAGCAATGGCACATAATGTCGGGACTGGGAAAGACGTACGAAAAATTCCTCACAATCTACATGAAAGTACTTTCAAAGTGCCTTCCCCACCATATCTCGTGCATTCTTTCACTATGCACATGTCACCACAGTTGTCCACGACGGACTGGCAGTCCATGACATCAAGGCGACACGACGGTGCCTCAGATTCATGTCAAGGTTGATCGGCTTACCATCAACCAACCTGGCATCGTGGTCTGTAAACCGGGTAATCGCGCACGGAGTCCATACTGGAAACAACATCTGGCTATATTTAACACAGCAGTGAACTCTGTCTAATATCAATCTGAGATACCATTTCTAAATGTCAGACATAAATCTAAGTTACTGTACTGTTTAAGTGCTGTTAACGTCAGATAACGATAACAAAACAATAATCTTCCATACTGTGCTACTTGTTCAGCCTTTTGATGTCTTCTCATTCATAGTCTTATACTTTCCAACTGGTCGAAACTGCGATTCTATTTGTTCCTTGGACCACATTGTAACATCAAGTGATAACAGATGTTTACCATTGCTTCTGTGACACAAATCGTTTTTGCAGGCTGAAAAATGGCAGTCATCGGTTATGCCATTCAACAACTGAGTTCAGTTAGTTTCGATTACCGCTTATCCTTTCAGGTCGCTGAGACAGACAGTGTCCCCCAACGTCCCAGATCTTATGCCACTGTCTGAGTGTCGGCAGAAGAAAACCCGGGTCTAGAAGACAGTATGTCAAGACATTTGTCCCATGTCATTCTTCGCCTTCCCTGCAGTTTTCGACCGGTGGGTTGAGCAAATAGTAACTGCTTCGCTTTCCGAGGCATTCACAATACGTGTCTAAACCACTGTAGCCGTGACTTCTCTATCTGGGGAAGCAGAGGCTGTACACCAAGGCTCTGTAACACGCATTTGAACTAGGGACCATGCAGAGATGCCTCAGCCAAGCGAGTTGTCGCAGGAAGCTCACTTCAGCCGCTTGTACCATTGTTCGAAATTTTTCAGTAACGACGCACGACTCATGGTCGTAGGGGATGAAGATCAACCTGAACAAAGACAGCCCTTTAAAGACTCAGCTGTACCTTAGTCAGAACAGTTCAGGCGCAGAACGCGGCTGGTCATCCAGATTCGTCGATCGTACCATTCAAGGAGAAAAATTTCAATTCAGTTCACCGTCTATGCAACACGCCCCTCAGATTTTTAACATCTCTGAGACGGCGGAGCACATTCGCTGTAATCTTATATCTAAGGGGTTCTAAGACCTTGTGCTCATTGAAAAATAGTTCTGTTCTCATGCTAAGACATTCTGTGCCTTTTTTCGCTGTTACTTGTCTCGTCATTTCGTCGCCTTCATTGAATTTTTTTCTTTTGAGTCAGACTGTAATTAGAAATATTCGTTCTACCGTTCTGTAATAACACGGTATTAACATCATAAGCTGTTCACACGCCAGAATACGTTAAATAACAAATGATTCATGGACAATCAGACATCTGCGAGCAAGGAGCAGTGCAATAAGCCCTGAAATTTGGTCTTAGTAGAGTCATTCGTAGTTACAAGCTTTCGTTTCAATCTTGTACACAAAAAACGACCCTTCGAAGATGATGCCATTCCGCCAGTAAAATCTATGTCATCAAAAATTCATTCATACCGATTCAGTCTAAATAGATTCAAACGATCTTTCGATTCAATAGCTAAGGTACGAAGCAGTGTATGCTGTCTTGATGGAAATGTAGTGGTTGTCCAAAATGTCGGTTTCTGAATAGTCTTTAGACGTCAAGAATAAGCTGCTCCTGCCTAATGACCAGTGAATCGGAAAATTTCGTCTTTCTTACATGAATTCCATAATTAATAACTATGTATATAGATCGCTTCATTTCCATGTCATCAGCCAGAGTGCAGTATTTTAAACAAACAGTAAACGGCAGCCATGTGACAAGCATCGTGTCAGTCTCGTATTTCCTTCGCACAAAATGGTACTCATTTATCAACTTCGAAAGGAAGACGAATGACCCTGATCGAGCCTCGAACCCGGACCTTCTCGGTTCGAGGTGTCTGACGCTCCATCGACTGAGCAGCCCCGGTCTAGACGACGTGACAACATGTGTCTGATGTCGAAGACGTGGTGCTGCATTGCAGACGCCGAAAAAGCGCCGAGCCATCGGTCGTTCGAACACTGAAAGATGAGACACCAAACGGAACGGAAATGGCCGCGGCAGAATCTAACCAACGGCTCGACCCGACTTCATATCTGTCGAAATCTCGAGACCGGTTACCACGGTTAAGTTGCGTGACTACGTTACGTAATAAATACGTAGCATCCATTCATTCATACATTCATAAATACCTGCCTTTATTTCACTTCATTTACTAGTTCACGTGGCCTTTCGCCGTGGAAGGGACAAAATGCTTCACTTCGAAAATCGAAAGAAGAAATGATCCAGGAAAATCAGCAAAGCGACAAAGTGATTTTCTTTCTCTTCTGTCGTTTGGCAGGGGAAGTGACGAGCAATTCAGCATTTGAACGTCCACATTCAAACACAGTGAACATCATTCGCGGTAGCGTTCTGGACGTCTGTTATGATGCCGTCGAAGCTTCACAGGGGGCACTCAGAAAAAATGTGTTACATGGTTTGATGTTCACAGTCGCAGTGATACGGTGGGCTGAACTTCGCCTTTCAGCGCTGTAGGAGGTGTCTTTGGTGCCTTTCTCAAGCCCGAATCCGGATCGGCCTCGACCATTTTTAGGAAGCCAAGTTACCGGGGTTGTGCGTGGTCGAACTGAAGATAGTCCTTGTCATGGGTGGCTGCAGCATCCGAGTCTGATCGCCACTTTCCCTCGAAACTGAACCGCCGTGCCGTCGCTCGTTCCCAGGCGATGGGCATTATTTCAGGCGTCGTGTCGGTGGTGGTTGGAAAACACGAGGGATGGGAAGCTGGCGATCTGCATCAGTGGGTCCAAAAAATGCGAGACACCTCTTCGCCCCCACGGAGGTGATAAGTAATTTGAAAACGTTACACTGAAACTTTCCGATCGCTACCTGGGAACGAGATAAAACTGCGAGGTACAAAAACTTACTCTTCTGTCATTTCCGCGGATTCACAAGGGGTAACGCCCCGCCCCTTTGCTTCTAGCACCCTGGGGGCCTTTTTACCATGGCTCTACGGTAATAGTAATGTTCCTGAATCCATAATAATGCTGTTCATAATAATTCTCTAATAATTCTTAAAATTTTCCGATTCAGTGGTTCTGTCGCAAGACAACGGTTGATGTTACGTAACCTTTATCACACCGTTGCCAACATTTAGGTCACACAAGAGCGGCTTTTTTCGGGACAGAAAACTAGCATCGAACGCTACAGTAAATGCTGAGACACGTGTAGCGTCGTACTGTAACATAAATAGCTGGTTTTCCGTCCGAGGAAAGAAGCTGCCGCGTGATCGAAACGTTGACAAGTGTGTAGCCAACATTCCTTAGCATCGGCCTTTGTCTTGCGCTCAGATTCAGTGATTAGAAAATGAAGATTCAGGAGTTCGTGGCGTGGAGTCAAGATGAACATTTAAATTCAACAATGCTTACTGCTGATCCAATACATCCACAGCCGCAAGTAATGGTTAATTTAGAAACGATATTCTTGGACAAGGTAGTACTCGCGTATGAAGCGAAATCACCTCATGTCGATTGGCATCGAAAGAAAAGATAGTGGTAACCAACTTTTTCAGCGTGGTCAC